GTTTAAACTTGTTTCTCCCCTTTTTTCTTTTTAATTATTTCTATGTTCTTCTTTTTTGGGTTATTTATTCATATATTATGTTTAAACTTGTTGAATGCTCCGACCTCCTCATCCCTTTGCCCAGCTCTTTACTATGTAAAACCTTGTCTGTCAACTTATCTGTTTACTGCTTATCTCAGTTGTCCTTTATCGTTTTCTGCATCTCAATTTAAATGCCGCCCTCGGCTACAATCCATCTTTTCAATTTTCTCTTGTATCAGCCAGCACCCGAGTACTCCTCCCTTTCAAACCGCAGACTCCTGATAAAGAAAGATGAGAGATTTGGTTTGGTAATGACATCCTCACGCTCCCCAAGCTGTTTCGTCTAAGTTGCCCAAAGTAGATTTTTTTTTCTCTACTTGGAGACACAATTTTAGCCCTTATATCGATCATTCAATTTCCGATCTATACACTCACCGTTTTGCATTCTCTGGCTGTTTTCAGGATTAGTTGCTATATTCTGAAAGAAGTTTATATACATGATTAGTAACGAATATTGAGAGTGGGGGTGGGGGCCTTTCATTTTCTACATGTGCTCCGTTTACATTAATTGTTATTCAAGAAGTGGGAAGGGGCCGGGGAATTCCCTTTAAAACCGCTATAGTGGAAATAGAGCTGAATGGTGCGTATTAAGGCCTATATTTCAGCTTAAATCAAAAGCCCTCTTACACTTGTTTGTGGCGAAAAGACAAAGCTGGAGAAACCAACCGATGTCGGACCTTGTCTTAAATATCAATGGGCCACAACTGGGTTTATGGTTAAAGCCACAAAGTGTCATCATTCGTGTTTAATTATTAAACCGTGAGTAGTCCCTGTAGTCGGTGTAATCTCAGATATGTACGGCATAAGACGTAGTTCTGTAGTACATAGCCCTCCTCTATCATAATGTATCTTTATCGCGTACACTATAGAAACTGAAATGTCAAATCACTGAGTAGTGACCTCTTTTTCAGAATGCTAGAATAACACTTCGGAAAATTGTGGATCCAACAATTTAAAAGTTGAATCTAGAACGAATCTTTTAAGTCTTGATCTGACATTTTGAAAGTGTTCACCTCTCGGCTCTTTCTAGTGGTAACATAACATTTAAGTTAATTGGGTGTAATTAAATGTCTCAACTTTTCTTTACTGTGTCATGCACCGTATTGATAGAGATGTGTCAATGTAAATAAATGAAATGTAAATGTCACATTAATGCACATGAATAGTTATGTTTGGCAGTAGATCAATTATTAATTCTCTAACGGCTTATTATCAAAATTGCCTCTGTTTGAGCTTAATTTCCCGTCATAGGTTTTTTTTCTTCCCTTATCAATTTCTAATGTCACTCTTTTCAGTATTCCCTAACTCCCAACCCTTCTATTCTCTAACTTATCAACTTTCCCGATAAACTTTAGTCTCCCTCCTATACATTTCCTGGGGCTGAGATCAATTCTGTCATTTCTTATTGCTCAGTGGTGTTATCTCACGAGATATTTTTCAACTGTAATTTCTCTGTCCCGTCATCAAATACGTGTATCACCAAGAGATATAACCTGATCGAAACGGGGTCGGGTTGGAGTGGACCCAGGATTAGTTGAAAAGAGAGGGACACAATTTCGGAAATGTCTCACTCCGTCGAGAACTAGGGTTATTATGTATCTCAAGTGCATTTTGGGTCTTGAATCTTACAGTGGCACAAAAGGCAAGTATGATGCTTTGTGTGTGTTGAAAGTTTGCCAGATTGAGCTTTTTAAAATGGAGACCGATTCTCCCTTTCCTAAATCCACCACTGATAGAATCTGATAGGAATTGTGTTTATCACTGTTGTTCGTCTAGCACAATTATCATCATGATCATAGTCATTTTTATTCATAGTTTCATCCTCTTCAACCCTCTCTATCTTTTATTTATCCATTACTCGACCAGGTTATTTATATCCCCTTCTTCTTTAATATTTCAGTTATTCTTTTTAAGTAAAAAGCCATTTATATTCCTTTTTCTCTTTCAGTCAAGCCATTTATCATTTTATCTCTTTCTCTCTCTCTCTCTCTTTTCATACCCTCCCCTCTGTCTGTTTCTCTTCCTCCTTTCCTTCTCCTCCTCCTTCTTCTGCTTCCTCTTCTTCTGCTACTTCTCTTTCTCGCTCTTTTTCTTTGTCTCTTTTTTTCTCCCACTCTCTCTTTTTCTTTGTCTCTTTTTTTCTCCCACTCTCTCTTTTTCTTTCAACCCCCTCCCCCATATCTCTCCCTCTTTCTCTATCATTTCCATCTTATCGAACAACATAACCTATGTTAGTTGCTCAGACTGAATTGAAATGTCATTTCAATTATTCACAGGACACTCGGTGGCAAATGAGTTTTATGGAAATGAATGGTAATTTCACAATTTCCAATTACTCTTAATTCAGACGTCGCTATAAATGTCATCTAATTTTTGGATTGTCATTCCGAAATGTAGCAAATGGGTTCAATGGTTTCAACACCCTGCCCAACACTGTCTATATACGCAGTATAATCCTTTATAATCCCCTATCTCATCGTTTCTGTATAAATATACTTTCTACTGTACTTGCTTGCGTTTAACCAAAGATTCTAAAAATATTCACCATCATCCATAAGTTTTCATAGTGTACATGTTGTATTTGTCTTGATCACCAAAGTTCTCTTTACATTTTGGCATGATTAAGTCAGTATCTCCTTCCACCCCCTTTCTATAATTGTCATATTCATCTTTATCTATACGCACGTACATACTCCTGTCTCTCTGTCTCTCCCTCTCTCTCCACTTTGTTCTCCTTGCATTCTTCGACTCTTTTCTCTTCTTTTCCTCACTATTTTTAAAATTTCCTTATAGTTAATTTTTCCTGTATTGGCTGTCGTTTATCTTGTTTTGACATTTTACCCGACTTTACCTATAAAAACTGAAAACTTCAGTCATTTTTCGGAACCTCCCATTAACATATTGGTGATACAATCACCAGTGTTTGTATTTCCATTAAAAAAAGATCTGTTTTTCCTTTATAAGACTATTGAAGCCACCATACCCCTCTTCCATACACCCCTTTGGTGAAGCCCCCCCCCCCCACCCATATTTTTAAAAAAAAACCTTCTCTTATTATGCCAGGTACATACCACCCCTATTCTTCTGGATCTCTCCTTCTGCATTTCTGGATACGCCATTTTCCGATGGTCATCTTGTATTGTTAATCTACTACCTGTTATCGAATCTATTTCTACACGACTGAAATCCTTCTTACCCTTTCTGTGTACCTTCCTTTCATTTTGTTTATCTCACGTGAATATATACCCCGTTCACACCGCATAACCGACTCAACACATACCGATAACTTCGCCGTTTGGGGGTAATGCACATTTTTGTTTGGTCGGTTGCTCGCCTGATGTTACTGTCGTCGGTGTAATTGGGACTTTACAATCAATCAACTCCACTCATGTTATAGTCGGCACCGCGAGACAAATTTAACAATAATTCTTTGTCATAGATTTTTCCCCCGCGGAGAACACTATTAAGGTACGTTAGAAGTGACAAGCAAGAGTCGGCTAGCATGCAATAACATCCTAATAACCTGCTATTGAAGTGGTTTCGAGACACGACGAAACAAGCCAAACATTTTCGACATGTAAGGCGCCTCGTCGGAAAATGAAAACCTTTTTTTAAAACTAATGAACTTAACCCACACGCCTCCCACACCATCAAATCCATTAGGTGAACAAGCCGTCGATGGAGACTTGCCAGCCAGACGAAAAGTTAAATAAACAGGGGAAATACTTCCCAATTCATTTTCATACGTTGTGCAAGTCCCCCTCATCATCCTCCCACAAAAGAAACATCCGCCCAGACTACTTTTACTGGCTACGCCTTTTAAAGGTTGCCCTAACCATCACATAATGAGTGGGAAAATGAGAGGAAAATAAGCGAAGATTAGCCGCCTAGATGCTTGATATTGGATTGTGAAGCCTCGACACTTGGGATGCAAATTGTCGAGTCTGACACGCAATCTTGCAGTAATCTTCGGGAAACACAAGCCACCCTCTTACTGTGGCTTGGTATGTACATAGTGATAATCGGACGAGTCAATACATAGACGGCATGAAAATTGCGATTGTGATGTCACGAGAGAGAAGCAATGACTCTGAAACATCAAAAAGAGATTATGAAAGAGGTGCATACAAAGGGAAATGTATTGGGGGATTAAGGCTTTCACAATTCCTAACATATAATTAAAACGTATTGAGAATTAAGATATTCAGTAAAGCCTTTAAAAAAAACAATAATCTCGATGTTGTTGTTTGAATTGCAATTATTCAGATTTGGTAATAAACTGTTCTAATTTAAATTTAGCCCGGTATAGTATTATTTTTTGTATTTAATATTTATCAACATTTATTTCCTTCTCAACGGCACTTTATTTAAACACAATGTATATATAAATTGTTTATGTAGCAATGATTTCAACATAGAGTATACAGTAAATAATTCAGATAACAGAAGGAGGTGAAAACCCGAAAAGTATAGCTTGAGTTGGTAGTTGAAAGATGTCCTATGTTCTGATGTAAACAATGTATCATTTAATTGGTTCGTGTTTGTGTGTGTGTGGGGAGGGGTGAGTAGAGTGGGATAGAAAGTAACAGCACCATTAAAGTGTATTTAAGAGGATCGCAACGCTATCTTTCATTATTTTGGTCCTATTTTAGTTGTAAAATGCTTTCATTTCTGATATATCACACACACGCCACCGTGCAGGAGGAGGGGTGCCAACCCTTTCCAACCCTACACAACCCTACACACCCCGTTTCCAAGACAATTAGATTGCAATCGTTCATGACTATTAAAATGCTGATATTAAATAGCGAAGGTCAGATCGGCGCACACGCACGTACAGTTTTGTGTCTGTTGCCCTCGCACACGCACACATGCACGCCGTGAGCAGGCGATCACTTTACCTAGCGCACCGCGCATGATGTAGACCGCTCGGGGCTCATTTTGGCGGGAAAATCCATGAGCGAGGGAGCGAGACGTTTATTGGAGATTCGTATCTTGTCGAGACGGAACGGAGTGTGAGGATTCTGCTCTTATATTGGATTATACAGTGTGAATTATTAGACGCACCCAGCACTGAGGGAACGGCTTCACCGAGAGGTGAGATGTAGGGTAAATTTGCTAAAATACAGTCTGGGAAAGATATTGCAAACGAGTGACAAATTATATAGATCTTGCAACCTGTTGGAAGAATTGAATCATTATATCAAGTAGCTTTACGTGTTTTCTTAAGTTGCTGTAAACATACCTCATTTTGCAAACCAATAAAGATTTTATTTCATAGAGGGAAGTATTGATTAAGAATAATGTGGCTGTTAGTACGAGCGTCTTTGGTTGAAAATGCAAATAATTTTTATGAAAAAGGGACATGATTAACAAAATATATTTGTGTAAAAAATACTTGGGTTAAATCATTGTCTTGGTGAAGAGTTGCCAATAACTGTAGCTCAAATATTAACGATGCATTTTCACTCCGTTCCATTCTTATTTGCATGAACCGACATGGATTTCCTGAGATGCACTGAATTAGTTTGTGATTAATAATTGACTAAATTCCCTTTTGAGAACCTAACACTAATAATCGTAGGTCTCAATGGTAATGAGAAGAATGATGATGACACTTCTACTTATTCTACTACAAAAAACCCTGTACTACTGCTACTACTACTACTACTACTACTACTACTTCTACTACTATTACTACTACTACTACTACTACTACTACTACTACTACTACTACTACTACTACCAATGTTACTAATATTACTACTACTACTACTACTACTACTACTACCTCTACTACTACTACTACTACTAATAGTAATAATAATAATAATGACAATAATAACAATATTTCATAAGAACAACAACAACAATGATAGTAATAGCAATAATGAAAATTACAATAATAACAGTAACAACAACAACATCAATAACAATTATAGCAAATATGAAAACTTGAGCCAATAAGAATCCCGAATGTTGTCTATCGGACTCCCCTCTTGTGTGCGTTTCTTTATTTTGTTGTTGTTGAGGGGGGGTGATAGGGTACAGGTATACGTTAATAGGAATCATAATGCCCTGCTTGGCAGACGATTTTTTAGGTTTACGAGGCAAGGTAGGGAGAGGAAAAGTTACCGATATGCATCATTTTTTTTTGCTTATTTGTTTTTATCTGATAGTTTTTGTTTAATTTGTTTGTATTTTATTCTGTTTGGGTGCTAAATTTTTTGAGGTCGGCGGTTGTTACATTTTGTTCGTCTATCTGTCAGAAGCATTCCTATTTTATTAACCACCACATGAGGAATTTAGAGGACGGCTTTGGTTGTATTTTTAGCCTCAACGTATTTTAAGCCAGATAATCTAGCTTGAATGTGGCTGCAACCAAGCAACGGCTCTAAAAATCCCTCGTTTTCAGGAATACCAGTCAGGCAGTAGCGGTAGATTCCCAGAAGAAAATTGCTCAGTGACGTGGGGGTAATTCGCCCATTTTTTGAGTTCTTAGGATCACAGTTATTCATGACGATGGAACTATTTCGAAATATGTATTGTACTAAAGATTTGTGCTATGTGAGTAAAGGTGTAATATCTAGAGAAAAAAGGGAGAGAATAAAGTTCAACAAATTTCATCGCCATCGTCGAATGCGCATTTTAAGAGAAAACACGAGTCACGAAATAAAAAAGGGGATGAATTCCAGCAATGTCTAAGTTCATGTAATATATAGATGCGGAAAATCCTTCTGAGCATAGTTCAACAAATTTGGCTTCCGTCAAATGTGTATGTCAAACACCAGAAAACATGACACACAGACAGTTAACAGAGCACATGATTTGAACTACTTCGAAGTAGGTATTTTGCGAAATTATTCTGCAGTATGAGCTTTTTAACGTTTGATATGAAAATCCTCTGAAAAATAGATAAACATAATATTTATAGCAATTTGCTTTGATTCTTCCCAAAACAATTTAATAAAGTTTGATGAAATTTGATTATTTGACAATTTATCTTTTATTCTTTTCTAAAATGAATGTCACAGATTACTTTTTAATATTATATGTTTTTTTTATGTTACCAATTTTTAACGCAGAATAAGAAAATAAATCAAATCAAATCAAATCAAAGACATTTTGCTTTTGTCTAATATGCATTTTAAAAGGAAAAATTAGACACAGAAAATTAACAGAGCACATAATTTGAGCTATTTCGAAGTTTGCGTTTAGCTAAATTTTTCTGCTGGATGAGTTATTTCAAGTGTAATATCTAGGTTCGGAAAGCCTCTCAAGAATCGTTCCACAAATTTGGCTTTTGTCGAATGTGCATCTTACGCATTGTCACGAGACACAGAAATTTAACAGAGCATATAATTCGGAAATCGAAAAGACTTTGCTCGTTTCCTATTTGTCTGTACTTGTATGTCCAATCTATCTCAGGGAATACAGATGTTTGCTAAATCTCCTGTATCAAACGTCGTCTTAACCTCTATCTTTTTTCTTTTGTATGCATCCGTGTTAACCCGTACTCCTCTCTCTCTCTCTCTCTCTCTCTCTCTTGTTTTTCCGTAGCTTTGTTTCGTGACTTATTGTGCTGTGAAAGTGCGTTATTTCCTCTCTTTCTTCTGCATATCTCTCTATCTAGTTTCCTTTCTCATCGTCAACCCTTTTTTCAACACAAATAGCCCAATGGCCACACTTTCCGCCCCTCCATCCAACACCCTGCCCCTCTCTCTCTCTCTCTGTCTCTCTCTTTCTATCTCTCGTTTTCCATTTTTTCTTTTTTGGCTTTGTAGAACAAGCCAAACTTGACAACATTTTACGCAGAAGTTATGTTGTTGCATCTTATTTTAAGTTTTAGTGTAGTTCTTTATCAAATCATAAGGCCTGATAATGATTTTTACACTCATACAGCATTTTTTAATCGACATTCACGTTTTCTCTATACTATTGGCTAAACAATTTTTTTGGGGTAAAAAATGCAAAATAATCAATAAAATCTAATGCAACCCTCATGTATGTAATCATAACAATTTATATTTTGCAGTAACGTGTAAAATAGTGTGTCAGCATGCTGGCCACGTCTGTCTCTTCAATAAATTGTAAAGGTAAATTTTTATGAATTCGGGGCATAAAATACAATACAAAAATTCAAACCAAATTCAATATACATGAAGATTACTTAGCCAAGTATGTTACATCTAAAAACTTGCATATGTTGTGAAAAGAAAATGAGAGAATACTTGTGTGTAGCTGCAATCAAGGCCCCTCATCACTGTCTTCCTATGGAATGCTATTGACCGAAAGCAAACATTAGAAAACGCTCCTGCCGGGAATCGAACCAGTGTATGTGGCTCAGAACGCTAATGCCTTCCCGGTAAGCCAAACAGAGCACTTACAGTATCTGTAACGCACTGTACATGGGCTTTAATATAAGAGACATATTCCATGAACTTGGGGAATTGATTAATCCTTAGCGAGAGAACGGGCAACGGTTAAGAAGTAATATCATTGCTAATAATTTTCTGTTATATAGATGTGAAGCACGTAATGCAATGGCGACATCTAATATCGACCAGAAAATTGATCTAAAGAGAGATCGATGTTTCATAATCTATGGACTTTCATTACATATCCTTTATTGTTATCAATCAGGGGCGGCACCGGTAAATTATGTCAGGGAGGGGGTTGAACCTATATGTTGGTGACTGATCGTATACCGTAAAATTGACTCGGTAACATTGTTGAAGGTTGATGAAAAAAATGTGTAATCTTTATATGAAATGATACTTATTATATTCCTTCCATTGTACTAACCCTCTAACATGCAACAAATCCTGAACAAATTTTCAAACCACAAAGATATTTATGGTTTTCTTTGAAGGCATCATGGTGCGAAAACTTCTTATAGTAAATTCTCCCAACCATTTCTGAATTTTCCCAACCGTTTTCTCATGCAAATAAGACATAAAATCTGCTTTTACCAAATTTGTCAACACTTAAATGTCTGGAATGGTACATAAGCCAATCCATTGCTTTGTGACGATTTTCATTCACCTATAAATGTTATTTAATTGTAATGATATGATTGGGAGAATACAGAAATCGATCAGATCAATTTTTCCCAATTAATATAATTAAAAACCGTCTGTTTTAACTCAAACTTCCAGATAATCTTTAAATGTACATCAAGCAATGAAGTCACTACCTTAACGCCATTTTCTCTCATCTGAAGAATGTTACCAAGTACCTTTAACCTCTGTCAGATATGATGCGACGACACCACGGCTTTTTAAAATATTTTGTATGATGAAGTAATGTGTAATACGATTCGCATCGCCATAGCTCAGTGAATGCGCGCATGACTTTTCTTGCGCGTAGCAGCCATTCATTTGCACGTTCAAAAGAAACTCGAGCGGCTTTTTTGCTGTGGTTTACCGCGTGACCGCGTCATTTCTGAACGACCCTTTACGTTACATTCAGCTACCAAATTTGAAAGTGTCGAATTGTATTTTATCGTTCGTCTTTGAGGGAGCCATCCATATTTTGTTCAAATGTACTACTAATATCAATAAATTAGTGACAAGTGAATAAAGAAAACAGAACAATGTATAATGCAAATATGATAGCAGTAACAAATAAACAAACATAGGCCTACTTATCTTTTAATTTTTGATCAACTAGAATGCTGTTTCATTTATTTGGTTTCATTTATGTTTTGATATCCGTAAATTTATATATATATATATATATATATATATATATTATACAATGTACTAATAGGTTATAGTAATATGTGACAATACAATATTTGACAATACAAGCCTGTTAGTTGTCGGCTAGCAATGCGGGGAAGAAATTCCCCTGCCTCCACTCCTTCTGTAACACCGCCCTGTTGTCAATGATTGTGCGGACAAAAGGAAATTGTCTTCCCAAGTCTTTCCTTTGTTAGCAGTGAGCTTGTGAAAACGCTCCGCAGAAGAGGTCACGAAAATCAAAGTAATATACGATGATTGCCGATGATATATTGCCATGCCAGTCATATATTTGCCGAGTGAACTTTTTGAGATGGTTATTAAGGGCAAGGTCATCTAGTCAATAACCTTTCA